TGTGAGCTTATGTTAACTTCTGAGTCTCTGTATCTCTATTCTTTGTTCATATTCGGCTTTCCTTCTTTTTTATTTCCCTGTCTATCACTTCACATCTCATTCTTTTCTCAGATATGCTGACGGCTTCCTTTCCAGCTGGCCTGGGACCAAACAAATCTTAGACTATGCAAAAATGCATAGCTAATGGTGGATAGCTATGTTGAAAAATAGTATTTTGTAGCTGAGAACTTGCTCTATTGAGAAGTGTTTTCATGCTCTTTGTAGTTGCTGTAATTTCCTGAATTAAATACTTCCAGAACAACCTTCATAATTTAAAGTTGATGCATCTCTGCTTGCTTCCCAGCCACCACCAAACACAGATCTTTACTGAGACAGGTTCACTGACTAATTGCATATTACTTCTCCAAAAGTAATATGTCTATTACAGTCTATTACACAACTGGCTGTGATGGCTGTTACAGTTTATTATGAGTGATACCTCCTAATTGGAGATTAAAGAAAATATGGGAAGGAGAGCTGGTCCCAGTCCCTGCTTGTTTCATAGCACACACCATTTTCAGCATGTAGACAATTTCTGAACTGTTCTCCATCATTTTTATTGATCATTAATGTAGAAATATAAGGCTTTTTTTTTTTTTTTGGATAACAGAACACTCAATTGGACAAAAAGGAAATTAAAGTTGATGTTAATATTTTAAAAGCTCCTGAACTTTTGGGTGATTAATCTCCTCAGAGAAACATTATTTTCATGCAAACTGAGTTCATAGATACATAGAGACATAGATTCTCCCATAAATTCACAGACATGAAGAAAATCACCTGCTTTGCAGCTGCTTTTGGGACACAAGTATCACCTTACCTGTTAGAAATGCACATTACGTGCTCTCCTCGGAACCCAAGGCAAATTTTTTGCATGAACTCATTTCTTATCTACATGTCTCCAGTCAATGCCTCAACCGTTTCTGCAGTGTCTAAGTACAGAATGCAGCACAGAGTAAAGATATCCTAAAATTAACTGCAGGGCAGACAAGCAGGACTGGTAAGTAATGAACTCACTGGTTCTGAGAATCAAGCTACTATTTACTCACAGTGCTTCACTGGGTGAAGGACGTGCAACTTTTTAAATACAGATGGCTACAGTCACATAAAAATCAAAGTGCTTTAGTTGCAGAGTGTTAGCATTTACCAGAAATTTTCATTTTCTGAAAAAACAGATCCATAGTTTCATTAATACCAGGCACGTCAGCCTCACTGCAGCTAGGAAGCAAGCCTGATTCAGCAATCCCTCCTATCCCACACATTGATGCACAGAGACCACAAGCACCTTACTGTTTTTAAATGCAAAGAAGGCAATGCCAGCCCATCCACATGATTTATAATTAATAACTTCAGTGCATATTTCATCCAACTTAATCTTCCTCCATCATGTAAATCTTTGGACTTTCCCTTTTTGAGAATTCTACAGAATGAAAATAAGTAATTTTTGCCTAACACACATTAGAAGAAGCCATAGTTTGTGGTTTGTCCAGGGGTTTCTGAAAGAGCAGAAAAAGGTATCTTATTGCCTAATTACACTTTTACCACTTACAAGTGTACTTCAGGGACAAGCATGACATGCCATCAAATCTGCACTCCTTTCTTTGGTGTTTTATGCAGGAATCAGTACTGTAAACAATTTCTGACAAAAATAGCTCAAACTTTCAACGTAATTCCTTCAATAACATTAAGAGACGGGAACTGACTGCTCTGAGAATTTGATATGATAGAGCCAAGCCCCATCAATCTGCACAAAATAAACTTTTTATTCCTGCACTTTTAAGCCACATAAATGTCAGGTTACATACGACCTTTCTAGCAAAAAAATAGATTGCAACTTTTCTTCCTTCCTGTTCCCCCTCCCCCTGCCATTTCTGGTGAGAGGAGTAGTTAGTCTGATGCTGAGTCTGTGGGCTGAGCTATTACCCACCTGTTCCTGGTAGCCAATTAATATCAGTTGTATTGAGAGAAACATTCTGTTAAGTTAAAAAACAAAAAGTCCCCTAGTTAGCACCACACTATCCTTCACCAACCAGGTTAAACTTGCACACATGCTTGGACTGGTGCAATTTGGCCTTAAATAAAGAAAGCTAAAGGAAAGCCTTGGGGAGCACATAACCAAATAATTACATCAGAAGACTACTTTACTGCCCACTCACTCATCTCTAGCCTGATGTCTCTCTTGCTGCTCTGTGCATGGAGCTGGACACATAGTGATGAAGAGTTCCTAGCTTCTGAAATGGGTTGGCACAATACCGTGAACAGCAAGGTGTTGCAAACCCCAGTAAGGTCTCAGACAGATGCAGTTTATGTCCACAATTCACTACTTTCCAAGTCCTTTGCCACATTCCTATTATAACTTTCCAAGAAGTGGGCACATGCCAGACCTCACTGCTGCAGTGCCTTGCAATTACAGTTAGCATTGTTTGTCTACACACAGATCTAGACCATTAGATTCCTACAGAATGTATGCAGGTCATACTGATTGGCAACTTCCCTGAAATTTTCAGGGGAAAAAAAAAAAAAGTGGAAGTGAACATCTGGAGGTCTGCAATGAAGGCAGACCATCACTGAGTGGAAAAACAAGGCCTATGTCCCCATTTAGTACTCTGTGGCGTTTGCACTTTCAGTATCTCCACTTGCAACCTGTGCAAAAGCAGTGGGGACATAGAGCTTCACAATTATGAATATGGATGCTGGCAGAAAATACAGGGAGTCAGACATTTTCTATTGCTTCCTGTGCTGACCTTTCTACATCATCCTCTTTGTCTACGAGGGAGAAGTAGCTGGCAGTTTCTGTACCAATGTGATCTGATCCTCCACAGATACTTCTTACTCAGGTGGAGAAGTGAGTCAGACAACTAAAAAGGCCATGAGAGAGAAAGCAGAGCATGCCCATAAAACCAGACACATTCCCAAACAAGCCACAAGGTGGAATGGAGGTAGATTTTCACTTGGGCTGTCAGCCTTCTTGATCTCAGCTCAGCTCTTAAATTTTACAGGACAGCCACTGCAAACAGTGCTTCTGAAAGGAAGGAGCCATTCTCATGAGGAAGATGCAGCCTTGGGACGTAGCTGAACATATTCAGCCAAAATGCACTAAGACATACAAGCTAGAGGTCTGAATTTTCTTCACAGAATCCCCTCAGCAGCTGGGAAGTCTGGATGGCACCTACTTATTTCCATTCAGAATGACAAAGCAACTGAAGTTATCTGTGTGAAGTAAGAGATCTCTGCTGAGGAAAAGAACAAGTCTGTTTCTACACTCAGACTACAAAACTGTTCAAACAGTCACAATGAGAGACCTGTGCACTTTGGCACAGTGAAGACTGGAGTTTCAGATCATAAAAACCTATTAAAATCCATATTTGAACAAAACTGGTATCGACTCAGCACCAAAATAGCGTGAGGGTTACACCTGCACACTCAAATTAATTTTCAAGTGCCTCTCCTGGTATGCAGAGTATTTTGCGTTACAGTTGTACCATACTTACATAACCTCCTTGAAATGTATTTCCCCTTGTTTAGAGCAACAGCTTTCTGGAGACGTCACAAAGTCTAATTTGGAAAGAAATTAAAGGCAAGAGTCTTTCCTCAGTACTCTTCCCTGACTAGCATTCAGAATACCTGCTGAGCGGAGATCAAGCAGGTCTCTGCTGATTTCTGAGCACAGGTTAAAACATACTCAGCTGTTAATATTTTGAGGCTTATATTAAGCCTTTTAATGGCTTCATCTTGAGAGCTCTGTATAACCTACTGTTAAGTGTTTTTAGACAGATCTTACTGGCAGCGGAGTATATATAATACATTCAGTGCAACATACAGTGGAATAGCAACCACAGAGACAGAGGGGTTAAGTACAAGTGCTCACCTAATCTCCGTCCCAAGGGATATTAAGCTGTACTGTCATCATTCCAGATAACTGCGTCTTCTTAAAGACATCTAATGATTGCAATTCTACTCCCCACTTCCTCCCACGCACCACTAGTCTATCCAAGCACTCTGCTGTCCTTGCTCTTCTCTTCTTTGCTGTTATTCAAGTCTTTTTACTTCTTGTCCTAAATACCATAGAGATGGAACAGACCATTCTCTTCCTCACTGTAAAATCCCTTATAATGTCCCCAAAGTCTCTTCATATGAAATGGAAACAGTTATTTCCAGCAGTAGCTGGCTATTTCCTCCAATGGCAGGTTTTCTGCACTTCTCGTCATTCTCACTGTCTCCCTCTTTATGCTTTCAAGTTGACACAAAACTTTCATGAAAACCATAGCACAAGAGTCCACTTACAGCCACTTGAGGCCTGAATCAGGCATAAGGATACCTTATGTTCTGTAGAACATAAACTGACACTGGGTTATGTTTCAGCAAATGTTATAAACTGATCAAGATCTTTTATTCCAACAAAAGTGGAGCAGTTCTAAAACAGCAATAACATGCATGTATCAAAGTCAATATTTTCACATAAGCAAACTACACAATTTAAATTATACTAGGAAAAGCAATGATATGTTCAGGAATCACTGACAGGGTACTGTCATTACCTTTCAGTGAGGGGATCTACAACCACAAAAAAGAGTCACAGTAGCTAACCCTCTGTTATCCTGAAATACCACCAATGAAGAGCTTTCATCAGGCCACTCTGCATGTGTGACAGACTAGAGACTTGGCCTAACTTTCCCCATCTGACAGAAATCTTCCAGACTGGGTCAAATAGTAGCTATGAATTACGTAATCTCAAAGAGCCCCAAACCAGCACTGATTAGTTATATTAGAAAAAGTCATTTCCATCCTGTGACAGTGACCTTAATGTTTGATCACTGTCACAATTGAGACTGAGTTTGAGGATGATGGGCTGCTCCTCTCCAACTCAGAGTTTTTATTGTTTTTGTTTGTTTTTTTAATTACAGGCAGAGGAATTCCCATAAGATAAAATTAGAAAATAAAGCTTTGTCCATTGTACTTACCCTTCTCTTTGGTACTCCTCGTCCAAATTTGACAAAAGCTGGGACCCAGCCACAGACAGATCAAGTGCAGCTAAGGGTAGATCTCGATAAGCAAAATTAACAAGCTGTACAGGGGCAATGCTTTTGGTCTCTTCTTCAACTTGCTGCGAAATTATCTCAACTTCTGAAACACCACCTTCTATCGCAGGCCTGAAAACACAATAAGCAAAATAAAAACCTCTCTCCACAGAGGCACACACATATATACATCTAATCTATATAAGCAAATATAAAAAAAACCAAGCAAATAAAAATAAGTTGGAGACAAGAACTTCACAGAAGAAAGAAAACAACAAATTGTAAGGCCAGGTCATTGAGAGAGGTATCCTCGGTAAGGGGGACAGATCAAATGTCTTCAAACTTGTCTTCAGTAAATGTAACACAGGGCAACAGAAATCTCACAGATAAAAGAAAACAGCATGTCACACTCTGCTTCAAAAGCACTAAATATAAACAAATGTGTTATGAACAAACAAATGTGGAAACAGTGTATGAAACCAAAAGCAAAATATTTGTGCAAAACAGTCAAGAACAACAGAAAGAAGGCGTGCAACTACACCAAGAACTCACTGCTTTGCAACTTGGACAAGTGAACAGTGAATAGTTAAGCTTATTAATTAATATACAAATCAGTAGTTAATGGATGAATTTTGACCCTTCTCACTGTGGATCACTACTATAAAGAGTTTTTGAGAGATGGGGACCTGATTTCATTCAGCCACATAAGATTACTCTGTTACAAGTTACTTCAAAACAATTCTGAAAGGAGAACAGAGACTCAGAAGAATTATGTACTCCTCTACAAAGCTTATCTTAAGCAGCTATTTGTACTGCTTCCAACTCCAGGCATGTATTTTTCTACCACTCCAGCAACATTAATGAGAACTGAATGCAAGCAAAACCAGCATCTCACTTTATCCACATCCTCCACGTTTAAAATACTACTTAGCTAGAACTCAAACACTGTCAGCTAGCATACCCTCCTGCACATGAAGGATGAAATCATAGTAGGACAAAGCTCGTATGAGAAGTCCCAGTAGAAACTGATCCTTTGCAGTTCCCAGTGAGAGTTCCTTGCCTCACATGATTCAGAATAGAGTGTAAACAATCTGCTCTGGTATTTATCCTCAAGATTTTATTAACTTCTGAGAAATCTCATGCTAGTTTTCAGAAGCTTTAAGCGGCAGGTATGAAGGTCTTTTTCCTTTGAGATACAGTTAAAAAGCATATAGCACCCAAATCATCTCTCATTTGACTGCAAAAGTCGCATGGGTGACTTTGCTTTAAAGAAGTTTATTAAAATATTCCAGTTATTCAAGCAAACTAATATGTAGGGCTATTGGTTTTTGTTTTTTGGTGGTTTTTTTTTTTTTTTTCAGAAAAAAAATGAATTATTTAGCAGAGTTCTTAACTCATGTATCTTGTAAATCTGAAGATGTGAGTGAAGAAGCTAGAACTCTAGATGAAAGGAAAAGAAAAACCTATTGCTCAGAGCCAGAACATCAGACTAACCCTTTTGGATGGAAAACATTCATCCAGATTTAAAGGAGCTAATCACTACCAGCATTACACAAAAAAGTCATTTGAAAAACCTGAAAAAGCTTTTATAACTCAAGTATTGTCAAAGAAAGGCTGCGCCTGTATCACAGAATCAGAATATCCTGAGTTGGAAAGGACCCCCAAGGATTATTAAGTCCAATCCCTGGCTCCACACAGAACCGCCCAAACCCTGCATGTAACAGCAGCATCCAAATGCTCCTTAGGCTCCAGCAGCTCAAGGCCATGCCCAGTGCCCAGGGCAGCCCGTTCCAAGCCCATCACTGGGGCAGAACCTTCCCCTAACCCCCAGCTGCCCTCCCCCGGCACAGCTCCATGCCGTTCCCTCAGGCCCTGTCACAGAGCAGAGCTCAGCGCTGCCCTCCGCTCCCTATGAGAAGCTGCAGTTGCCATCAGGCCTCCCGCCAGCCTGTTCTGCTCTGGGCTGAACAAACCCAGGGACCTCAGCAACACACATCCTGCCCTCAAGACCTTTCACCACCTCTGCAGCCTTCCTTTGGATGCTCTCTAATATTTTTACGTCCTTCTTATATTGTGGCACCCAAACCTGCTCACAGTGCTTGAAATGAAGCTGCACAGCACAGCATGGAGTGGGACAATCCCTTCCCTCATGCAGCTGGCAGTGTCAGGTCTGATACACCCCAGAGCCTGACCCATCAGCCACTTTTTCACCTACCACTATTTTCCTCCCCCCCCCTCTTTCTCTCTCTCTTTCTCTCTCTCTCTTTTTATATATATATATATATATCTTTATATATCTTTATATATATATATATATGTATATCTTTATATATCTTTATATATATATATATATATCTTTATATATCTTTATATATATATATATATATATATATATATATATATATATATATATATTTATCTTTATATATCTTTATATATATATATATATATACTGGACATTTTGTCCAGATCAACACTTTGAGTAACAATACCAACAGCTTTACTAAAATTACATCTGCTGGCTTCCCTTGGTCATGCAGGTGAGTAACTTTGTCATAAATGGAGATTAACTTCACAAACCCTCCCCCTTGTGAACCCACCTTGGTTGCAACCAGGTTGCATTATCTTTCAGGTGTTTTCCTATAGCTCCCAGAATAATTTTATCAGGCTCTGAAGTAAGACTGACAGCGCGTCATACTGTCACACCATGCAGAAAGTAAAGGGAGATACTACTGTATGTACAACCTAAAAGCTCATTTTATTTTACTCCTTGCCTAACTAGTGATTGAAAGTATTGAGATTCATGTCATTTCCAACAGAACTGTATTTACCTGTCAAGTCAAATCAGAGGCAGGCGCTAATTATAGCAAGAAACTTCTCTCTGTGATTTTCACCTTTAGTGACTGTGAACCTTTACCCTTACAAGTCTAAGATGAGCTGACTCAGTTTTGCATGAAGACCATGTAGAGATACCATTTCCAGTATTATGAGGGGGAAAAAAGGAAAATGGATGAGTGCAGCCTTCCCCCTCTCAACAGAATTTATCTTCCATGTTTCTTAGACAGATTATATCATAGGCAGAGTCTGATGTGAATGGGTTGATTAACTGCAGGACAAAGGGAAATGATTTTAAGTTGAGGGAGGGAAGATTTAGGTTGGATGTCAGGGGGAAGTTCTTCACAGAGAGAGTGGTGAGGTGCTGGAACAGCTGCCCAGAGAGGCTGTGATGCCTCGTCCATCCCTGGAGGTGTTCAAGGCCAGGCTGGATGGAGCCCTGGGCAGCCTGGGCTGGTATTAAATGGGGAGATTGGTGGCAGGGGGTTGGAGATTCATGATCCTTGAGGTTCATTCCAACCCATGATTCTGTGTGATTCTGTAATGTGACTGAAAAGAAAACCAAACCAACCAATAGACTGGTGTTGGCAAGCAGCCTTCAGACAGTTTTGGTGAAAGGGAAATGGATATAAAAATGAGACAAAGTAATTTTTAGCCACTGGCTGTCAGTATACATCCAAAACTTAGTGCATTCTTGCTTTTTCTGTTAATTCACACTCTTTAGGCATCTGACAAAATCCCACTATCCCTTCTCAAAATAGCAACTTTTCTTTCTGACATCACAACAATATTCTCCTACAGGCAGGAATTGTTCTTGGGTAATTAAAATAAGTTATAATTATCCTGATATGGTACTTACTGAGGACTGGTCATGTTGGAGGATGCAACTCAATCAGCAGCAGTTATTGCATTCAACTAATTCCAGCTGCTTTGCACAGATGTTCTAGACATCCAAAATGAGGCTTCTGCAAGAGTCAAAACAAAATTATCTAAAACAGTTAAAAGAACTCCAAAGGGCTGCACTGACAATTTTTGTCATGTTATCAGTTCACTTCATTATTTTATTTCCCTTTATGATTCTTTTCCTAGGCATTTCGTTCTGGATTGACTCCTCCATTTTATGGGAGGTGTAAAGCTATAGATAGACACCAGCTCATGTATGTACTTCCATAACAACACATTTTGCTTTAAATTTCTGGTTCACTTAGAAATAATCAGGCAGGGGGGATTTTCAAAGAAAGCTTGGGGATTCAGGAGCACAAATGCTATTGAAAACCAATTAATATTTTCTTTTAAAAATAAATACAATTTAATATTTAATTTAATATTGAGACGAGTGCTAGTCTTGTCTACAAAGCCTGGAGAATTGTTATCAAACATTCTGGTTAGGTTGTTACCAAGACAATACTTTGATCAACAAAGTCCACTAACATTTGGAAAAGGTGACACACTTGCCTATGTCATGATCTTAATTTGTGGTGTACCTGGACCAATGCATGGGAGCCAGAATGGAACAGCATTGAGATGAGAATAAAACTTATCAGTACATAGGTTTTAATGGCTGGAAAATATAACCTGGAGAAAACCACATAAGAAATGCAAATTCATAGAAAATCATATAGTAAGAAATTTTGTAAAGCTACTGTCAGGACTAATGACACTAATTGAAACCAGTAACTAAAATACAAAAACATGCTCTTTATTTAAGCAGAAATACACTGGTTGGTAAACTAGCATATTACTGTCATCAAGCAATTTTCACAATGATGAAAAATAATTCTTATACTAAACCAGAGTCATTAAGAGGCTGAACTGTTAGCATCAGTCAAGCATTTACAACAGAGATATATAAAAACTGCATTATCTATGGTAGTCACGTGATACCAAATAACAAAACTGAACTTACATCAATTGTAGAGCCATTTCCAAGGCTTTATTTAACATACTGGAAACTTGTATTAATGTAAAATGTAGTCATTCCATTCTCAGATTTTTCAGATAATACACCTGCATTTACAAAAAGAAAGAATCTAGATTATGATCACCTTCCTCAGGTAGATGAGTTAGCCAAAAAGAATTATTCACAAGAAATACAATTGACTTCAAAACACAAAACATACGTGTTTCAGATAAAAAACATACTCCATTTTTCTTTCAGTTTTAAGCACTTATAACATCAGAGTAACAAAACAACTACTTTTCAGATATACTTTCTCAGATATAGCACAATCTTGATCCAATATTCATTTGATATCAATGTGAGTCTCTTCGCTTCTATTCTTGGTCTTTTTTTGATTATATTCCCCAGGCAGTAAGATACTAAAGCAAATGCTTAAAATTAAAAGTCTGTTTAAATCACATACTGAAAGGATGCAGTAAGAATATCTTATGCCTAAGACAGTTTCATAATAGCAACCATTCCACTTAGCAGCAGAATAAAACTGAAATGTCACTACAAGTCTTGCTTTGCAACGTTAGCTCCCTAACACCCCGCTTGGGGTTTACATTTTACTGTGCTTTTCACTGAAGTGTTTTACCTAAACTTGTTGTTGTAAGCATACGGGCTGGGAAAATGGTAAAGGCGCAAGGGTGCTCAGTACCTAAACTAACAGGCTGAGATGGAAATTGAAAACCCTTCTGTAATCATGTCTGCAAGCCTGGAGAATAAGAGGTAAATGGGGATAATGAATGCAACTGAGAGAAACTGGCCTCTGAGAGATGTAGGAAGGGAAATTTCTTCATATAGTTGAAAAGTCACTGCATGTTTGGGAGACGGCTCAGTGCTAATGCTCCACCTCTCTCCCAACGAGGGGTTTAAAAAACAAGAACACTACAAATGTACAGCCAGATTTTTGAAAGTATTATCTAAAGATTATTCCCAAAAGGGGAACCAACAACGCTGCAAACACTTGAACAAGAAACGTTCGCTGCTCCAGGACTTACACTTTTGTTTTTTAAGCTAGAAGCACGTTCATATCCATCCAGAACTTTGTTTCTCCATTCAGCCACACCAGTGGCAACATCAATAAGCCAGACCTGCTACCTCTTACTGGAGCTGGCAGCTCTACAGGGAAACATTCACTCACTACCAAGAGTGAGAGAGCAATTCATGGCTGGGCAGCAAGCTCTTCAGATAGCTCTGAGGGCTCCACTGGGAGCAGAGTCCAACCTGCCCTCACTGAACAGATTGCTACCATGGCATAATGCACTCACAGAGGTGAGATGAGTAATGTGGAAAGAAATCTGGGAGGGTTTCAAGTCTCAAAGAAGGGAGTCAAGTCTCTAAAGGACTCAATGGAGCTTCCCTCAGAAGGAAAGCATAAAAAGTCAGTCATCTGCACCCAGAATTACTAATGTAGTACTCGATTCAGTGGATCAAAAAGTGGTTTCTGAGCACAGCTGCAGGACAGCACAACTGAAGCCTTCAGAACAGACACAACATGTTGTATATGTAATGTAAACAGGCTACAAGGACTCCTGCTTCTTTCTACGCCACACACAAGCATCTAACAACTCCATCCCCATCTATTTGCTATCTTCCTTAGAGCCGGTTCATAGGAAAATACAACACCTCCAAGTCCCACAGGAGATTTCTGTGCAACTGAGTAGTGTTTAAAGGCAACAACGAACAGAGAGGAGAAATAATTTCCCTATATTTAATCTCCCACTTGCGTTCCTACAGGACATAGTACAGGCAAAGGGCAATGACGTGAGCATTCTGCAGGCACCCTATGGGTATCCCATCCGCCATCCAAGAGTGGAAATTTTTCCAAGCTGCCCTTTCTGCACCTAGCTCGCTCAAGGCTTAGTAGATAAAAACACCTTGATCTCATGGGAGGAGATTAGTTGGCAGTTCCAGGATGGGTTTTGTGCCCTCTCTTTGTTTTCCGGTCATTTATATTTTTCGTTTTTATTTTAACTTCTTGGAACTGAGGCCAAGGAAGCACATGGTTCATGCTGAGTTCCCACATAGCTCTGAGCAATGCCCATTTTGTGAGAATTCAGCAGTTCCATTTGTTCTGTGGCATAAGTATTTTCAAGGTGAGATGACTGCAGAAAGAGCAAAGTTCCTCAAACTAAACAGAATTCATTTTAAGAGGAGATAGAGCAGAAATGAAAGAATTGCCCCCAGAAGGTTTCTTGTGCAAGTTTTGAAGTGCTGTAAAACCCAGAAATAGTCACTGAACTAAATGACCAGGATAGCGGTCAGGTGAGCCAAGAGGGCAATGCAACCTGATGGAAAGCATATTTCTGTAACTGGTTTTCCGTGTAGGGTTGAGTTTGTAGATTCATTGCCTAATGAATAAAAATGTGCAGATACACAGTTCAGAATTCAGCAAAGCTGACTCAGCTCTTCACACCCCTGCAGTAAGTGAAGTTGTGCACAATTCACCGAGTTCTTTATGAGGCAAGACCTTTGAAATGCTTAAAAATGCTTTGCCTCCCCAGCCCTTCCTGCCTTCCTGTTCTTTGCACGCATATTACACACACCAGTGGTCTCAACACTTCTGTGACACACCTTAATTATTTCTTTTACCCTCTCATTTGTGGTGCACAGACATGCAGCTGTTCTGCTCTTCATGCATTACTGCCAGAATCACACAGGTTGAAAAGCAGCGTCACGCTCTATAGCACTTGAGCAAAGGTTGATGATGCTGCCTGCACCCAACACACAACCTCTCATGGTTAATGTGTTAGTGTTTAGATCAACCTTTCACTGCCAGTCACTGTAGCGTAGCAGTAGCTTGTTAATACACAAAGTTCAGCTGAAACAACGCAAACTATAAAGCAATTTGAGAGTTTACATAAAATCAGAGCAAATGCACAGTGGTATAAGCTCTGTGCATATATCATAGAACAGCCTGGATTGAAGAGGACCACAATGCTCATCCAGTTCCAACCCCCTGCTGTGTGCAGGTCGCCAACCAGCAGCCCAGGCTGCCCAGAGCCACATCCAGCCTGGCCTTGAATGCCTGCAGGGATGGGGCATCCACAGCCTCCTTGGGCAACCTGTTCCAGTGCCTCACCACCCTCTGTGTGAAAAAATTCCTCCTAATATCCAACCTAAACCTCCCCTGTCTCAGTTTAAGACCGTTCCCCCTTGTCCTATCACTATCCACCCTCATGAACAACTGTTTTCCCCCTCTGTTTATACGCTCCCTTCCAGTACCAGAAGGCCAGAATGAAGTCTCCCCAGAGCCTTCTCCTCTCCAAGCTAAACAATTCCAGTTCCCTTAAACTTTCCTCATAGAAGAGGTGCTCCAGCCCTCTGATCATTTTAGTGGCTCTTCTCTGGACCAAGTGGCTCCAAGAGATCCACATCCTGGGGTCGCAGGCCTGGGCACAGTACTGCAGATGGAGCCTCAGGGAATACATGTTTTCCAAGCCTTTAAGAAAAGCAACAAGAACAGCACCCAAGAGGAACTTCAAAAGAAGTTTATACTCCACATCTGCATAAAAATTATGATTTTTAGCACTGGTTTCAACAGTCCCCCAAAATCTGTGTGTCACAGTGTGGCAATAAATAAATAAACTAAAAAGCCTGAAACAAAAACAAAAAAAACAAAAAAAAGAAGATTGACCAGAAAGAAGAAAGTGTCTAATTTAAGCTTTTTACAAAGTCCCTTCTAACTTGTATTGAAGCCCCTTCAATTAAGTTGAAGTCAAGACCGCGTTGTTCACTTGTTGCATTTGTTCATGTTCTCCACGGAGTATTATCATGATGCTATAAGCTTCCCATGTCACACGCCTGTAAGTGAACCATCCCACATTGCTATGTAAGTTCACAATCAGTCAGATGGTATGGCATGTAACAACAAGAGATTTCCCTTTAAAAAAAAACAAACAGTGCTTCTCCAATGCAGGGAAAAGCACAGCTCCAAAAACAGTTGTGTCAGCACCAGGGGGTTAGGGCTGCACACATGGCCACAGCCATGGGAACAAATGGCATGGTGGAGAAACACTGAAGTCAGCTTATATCAGAAAGACTTACACCTACAATTATGTGCCAAGCCCTCACCATTGGTGATATTGAACTGCAGCAAGCACCCAAACTGAAAATGCTTCACGGATTTAGGGAGAAGGAAAGAAGAAAGATGACGACTGGTCATATAATGTCCAAATTGTTTCCTTCAGAAATCCAGCAACTTGCTCTTCTTTCTGAAGGGGAAACCCCAAGTTCAGAAAAGGTAGCAACACCCCCTTGCTTCAGGTTGAACAAAATTGAAGAGGTTCATTGAGATAGAAGATATAAGATTGATTAAAACAGACCCTCCCCCAAATCCTCTTTCTGCCAGCTAGCATTTTCAGAAAGTATTTGTTTACATGGCTCTAAGAGGTAGATCCATAATACTTCCTTTATTTTCCAAAAATAACTGAATGAGATTTATCAAAAGATTACAAATGCAGAACGTTACAAAACAGAGTAAATTAACTTCCTCTACAAATCAAGCATATTAGATACACGTTTTAACATTGCAGGTTCCCAATTCCAGTCATAGCTTTAACATTCCTATGCAGCACCCAGAAGAGACAGGCACAAAAGACAGAGCTTTGCATTTCACAGGAAAAAGGGACACTGAATTTTGTATCTCTGTCGATCATCTACAGTCAAACGTTTATATACATATTTAAAAAAATGAAGGAAAAAAACAAATAAAACCCTCCATCACAGTAAAGGTATTTATAGTTGGAAAAATTAGACATTCAGAAATTAGGAAATGGCAGATTTGAACTTGCTCATGCAGCCATAATTCTACCCCCTTATGGGATCACCCCGTATGCTGAAATTAAGCAGAATGCTGGGGGTGGAGTAGGAAGCATGTAATCCTGTAACTAAAAACCATCTCACTATTTGTAAGCATAGTTCATATTTCCAAGGAAAGTTTAGACAGTCCATAAAAAAAGAGAAAAAGGATCTTTTGCATAATCATAATCTTCCCCACAAAACATCATGAGCACTGTTTGAATCTTGAGCTTTCAGTCCTTCAAACTTGGACCTCAGAACA